CGGGCCCTGGAGAGGATCTCTCCCAATCCCCTGGCTTACACTTGATCCCTACAGCTGGACAGAAATCAGCTGCTGGGATAGAAACTGAGTATGGAGGTAGCACAATTCAAGGAGCAAACCTGGCAAAAATCAGTCCATTTCCCAGACAAAAATAAGGTGTTAATATGTAACAGAACTTGGACAGAGGGGCCAGGTGCAGTGACTCACACCTGTTATCCTAACACTCTGGGAGGCCAAGGCAGGCAGATCACCTAAGCTCAGAAGTTTGAGACCAGCCTGGGCAACCTTGTCTCTACAGAAAAATAAATAACAAACAAACAAACAAACAAAAAATTAGCTGGGTGCAGTGGCGCATGCCTATAGCCCCAGCTACTTGAGAGGCTGAGGTGGGAGGATCAGATCACTTGAGCCCAGGAGGTCGAGGCTGTAGTGAGCCAAGATGGAGCCACTGCACTCCAGCCTGGGTGACAGAGAGAGACCCTGTCTCAAAATAAAACAAAAGAAATTGGACAGAGGACCTGGCATAAATTCAGAGAGTGAGTGGCAGAAATCAAAGAGTAAATCAGATGAAATCAGGCCTGGTAGAAATCAGAAAGTGAGAATTTAGAGTCACAAGCAGAGCCAGGTTCAAATCCTGGCTCAGACACTTATTAGCAGTAGATGGAACCTGGATTAAATCCCTGGGAAAATGAGGCTTGGACGTGAGTCCCCTTGGGCTCTTTCTCATCCACCCTGCAGTGGCTGGGAAGCCACAAGAAGTCCAACTGGGCTCTTGCTCTGCCCCACTCCCTTTACCCCCTGTACCTCTTTCTTCCCACAGGCCCCTCCCGTGCCCCAGAGCTTCGTCTAAACCACATTGGCAAGACCTGGGCACAGCTGGAGTGGGTGCCCGAGCCCCCTGAGCTGGGGAAGAGCCCCTTGACCCACTACACCATCTTTTGGACCAACGCTCAGAACCAGTTCTTCTGTGAGTCTATCCTCAGTTCCCCACAGCCCCAGAAAACCCAGGAGCGGGTGCTCAGCTGCCATGGAGGCAGCTTCAGCATCCAGGCCTAGGCTGACCATACACCCCTCCCAGCCGCCATCCTGAATGCCTCCTCCCATGGCTTTGTCCTCCATGGCCTGAAGCCTGCCAGTCTGTATCACGTCCACCTCATGGCCTCCAGCAAGGCTGGGGCCGTCAACAGTACAGTCCTCAACCTGATGACCTTGACCCCAGGTAAGGGAAAATGGGGTCTGGGCAGAGATGGCTGTTGGGAGGGTACCCCAACCAAAGGCTGCTGATTTTGAGAGTAGAAGGGGAATGACTTTGAAACCCCTGGTCGGAGGGAGGAGACCCAGCCTTCCCCACATGCATTCTAACTTCTGGCTCTTCCCAAACTGCAGAAGGATCTGAGCTACACATCCTCCTGGGCCTGTTCGCCCTGCTCCTCTTGCTCTCCTGCCTCTGTGGAACTGTCTGGCTCTGCTGCAGCTCCAAGTGAGTCCCTTTGAGAAACCTGAGATCCTGCTTCCCCCACCCATAGGGAACCTCAGGACCAGGTGGGCCCATCTAAGTCCCTTCCAACCTTCCCAGACTTTGGGGCCTATGTCTGAGAGCCCCAGCCCCAGCTTCTTCTCTCTGCACAAAGCGCAGCTGCACCTCTTCAGGTGGGGTGGGTGGGACAAAGGGTGGAAAGATCAGAGGGTATGTCTGACCCAGCCTCCATCTGCCCCCTTTTGCAGCAGGAAGAATCCCCTCTGGCCAAATATCCCAGATCCAGCTCACAGCAGCCTGGGCTCCTGGGTGCCCACCACCATGGAGGAGGTGAGAATCCAGGAGGGAGAGGGAAATGGGGTGGGGATGTTGGCCCAGGCTCAGTGAAGGGATACCTCCTGAAGCCAAGTACTCAGGCCTTCTGTCACTTCCAGCAACATCCCCTTCCTTTGGGGTGAAACAGACCCAAAGAATCCCAGCTCTGTCCATCTCACAGCCTCAGTCAGCTCCCTGTGATATGGAAAGACTGACCATGCTGAGTCTGAACAGTGCGTGGCATGTGTCAGGAACATAACAGTGCTTTGCAAATGGAACCCTTTGTGTTCTAGAAGTAACAGCAGGAATGTCCCCACCACTGCCAGAACCCAGACAGGGACTGTGGCTGGGGCAGACATATGAAATGAGCCCCACATCCTTGTGTGCAGGAGGCCTTCCAGCTGCCCAGCCTCAGCACGCCACCCATCACCAAGCTCACAGTGCTGGAGGAGGAGAAGAAGAAGCCGGTGCCCTGGGAGTCTCTTAACAGCTCCGAGACTTGTGGCCTCCCCACTCTGGTCCAGCCCTATGTGCTCCAGAGGGACCCAAGAACAGCTTCCACCCAGCCCCAATCCCAGTCTGGCACCAGCAATCAGGTCCTTTATGGGCAGCTGGTGGGCAGTCCCACAAGCCCAGGGCCAGGGCACTACCTCCGCTGTGACTCCACTCAGCCCCTCTTGGGGGGCGTCAGCCCCAGCACTAAGTCCTATGAGAACCTCTGGTTCCAGGCCAGCCCCCTGGGGACCCTGGTAGCCCCAGCCCCAAGCCAGGAGGACGACTGTGTCTTTGGGCCACTGCTCGACTTCCCCCTCCTGCAGGGGATCCAGGTCCATGGGGTGGAGGGGTTGGGGAGCTTCTAGGGCTTCCTGCCTCTTGGGCCTGCCTCTTAAAGGCCTGAGCCAGCTGGAGGAGACGGGAGGGTCCAAAAGCCCATCACTAAAAACTACCCCAGCCCAGGCTCTCCCCCATCAGCCATCAGTATCCCCCTCTCCTCCCAATCTCCATAGGGTGGGCTTCCCAGGCAACCTGCATACTTTAAGGACCAGATCATGCTCCATCGGCCCCACCTAATGGCCTTTTTTGGTTGTTTCCTATAATTTCAGTATTGTAAACTACTTTTTGGTTTTGAGTTTTTGTTGTTGTTTAGAGACATTCTTGAGTGTAACTGAGTCTCTGTTATTGATTTTTCAAGGCCCAGCAGTCAGGGAGAAACTTCTCAAAATTGATCCTTCCCTCCCTCCCTCCCTCCCTTCTTCCTTCCTTTCCTTCCCGTCCTTCCTCTTTTCCTCCATTCCTTGCCTTCCACATGGGGGGAGTGAGAGTGCAGTGGGACACAGTGAAGAGATCTTGGAAAAAAACTAACTCCTCTTGGGGAAATATAATTGAAATCAAAATCCCCTGCCAACCCAGAAAACCCCTCCACAAGGGTAAAAAAGAAACGGTGTGACATCGTGGCATGCGCCTGTAGTCCCAGCTACTCGGGAGGCTGAGGCAGGAGAATTTCTTGAACCCAGGAGGCGGAGGTTGCCATGAGCCGAGATCCTGCCATTGCACTCCAGTCTGGGTAACAACAGCGAAACTCTGTCTCAAAAAAAAAAAAAAAGAAAAGAAAAGAAACAGTGTTATTATTGAATAAGCATTAAACCAGAATGTGATACATACACATCACAAGCAATCCACTAAAGAGACTGCAAAGACAGGAACAAAATATTACCCTTTTATATAGCCAAGTGAATACAACTTATTATATCCATTTTCTCAAGATAAACAATAACTGGTCCTCAAGTAAGAGGACTTGGCAGCACCTCACTCTAAATTTACCTAGTAAGTGGCAGCCGCCTGCGTCTGCTAATTGCCTTTATCCAAAGGAAAAATCGATTTCCCCTATCTTAATGACAAGAGGTAGGTTGCAACTAAGAGCTAGGCACCAACTGAAGTTAGGCTCCTACCCTCCCACAGGAGCTGAGAGAGAGAGAGAGCTTATCCTCCTCAATTGTTGCAATTCAAAGGGATGGCTCCCAGGTCCTAGAAAAAAATTCCGGGGTTGTAAAACTGGTAAGAGGTTTATTTACCTTTTAAAAAGATTTACATTCATCGCAAAGCAGTAGAGAAGGTATTCACAATTACAAGTTTTCTAAAGTAAATGCTCTCAGAAAAGTGAGGGAAAGAAGTATTTTCCCCTGTTGCGCCATGGAAAATTAAACTTTCTTTTTCTTCTAATTTGCATTCACCCTTACACCACTCATTTCACAAATAACATCACCATTAACATTTACTAAATGCTCTGGGAGAATGCTTGTCAATGTGTGCATTCAACTTCCAGAGTAAAAAAATAAATAAAGAAAAGAAAAAGAAAAAAAAAAAAGATTTACTAAATGCGGGCTGGGCGCGGTGGCTCACGCCTGTAATCCCAGCACTTTAAGAGGCCGAGGCGGGTGGATCATGAGGTACGGAGTTCAAGACCAGCCTGGCCAAGATGTTGAAACCTCCGTCTCTACTAAAAATACAAAAATTAGCCGGGCGCGGTGGCAGGCGCTACTAGGGAGGCTGAGGCAAGAGAATCGTTTGAACCCAGGGGGCGGAGGTTGCAGTGAGCCGAGATCGTGCCACTGCATTCCAGCCTGGGTGACAGAGTGAGACTCCGTCTCAAAAAAAAAAAAAGATTGACTAAATGCTCACTATATACCAGGTGCTCTGCATACAACTGCCTCAGTTAATCCTCTCAACAACCTGAAATAGAGATATTGTTATTACCATCACTCCAGGGCCCACAAAGGTTAAGTGACTTGCCCACAAGATCACACGTTTAGTAAATGGCTGAGTTAGGATTCCAGACCAGGGCTGTGCGATTCCAAAATCAGCGACTTTAGTCTCCAGGCTACGAGGCTGCCAGAGACAAGGCTGAAACCTAGTAGGTCTTACAGGGCCCTATCCTTGACTTAGGGACTCAGGGGTGCGGTGAGGTGTGGAGAGGGAATTGGGTTGGCAGTAGAAGGCTACCCCCAGGCGCCATGGAACTCCCAAAATAACCCCGGCCCGAGGCCAGGGAGTACTTAAAGGACAGGGTGCACGCCCTCCAAAAAGCGGCATTTTAGAATTTATACAGCACCCCAGCACACAATTAAACGTGGGCACACGACCACGCCCAGATTTCGCGCCGCTGGAACGTGCGCCCCGCCATCAGAGTCCCGCCCGCCAATCCATTCTCTCGGTCTTCGTCTGCTCCGGTATCGCAACTGCCTCGATTGGTCGAGCCTGGGCCAGCATGGTGGCGCCCATGTAACCCGGTCTGTGCAGCAAAGGAAACGGTGGCCGCGGCGCGAGCCCCTTGGGGGTTAGAGGTCACCATGCTAAGGGCCGCGTGGAGGATGCTGAGTTTGATTCGGACCCAGGCAGTCACCCAGGCCCCAGGCCCCGGGCTGCCGAGCTGTGGGAGCGCCAGATTTCCTTCCAACCAGTGGGGCCTGCAGCCTCGAAGTAAGGAGCTGAGAAATGGGACTCCGGGCGTAAGGAAACAGGCTTCGGCAGAGATAGGGGATAAGGGAGCACAGGAATAAGGGAGATGTAAGCGTCAGGATGAGGGAGATAGGGTGGTGGTTGCGCTAGAGGTGAGACAAGGTGTGAGACACAAGGGATAGGGAAGAAATGGGGCAGTGTTTAGGCTCAGAAGCGCATAGACCGTGGCGGACAGGCAATGCGAGGGGCACAGAAGGGAATTGAGGGTGGACCATTTAAGCAGATAGGCCTCAGCCCTCTCTCTTCTCTTAGGTCTCCTCCAGGCCACGCGCAGATATGTCATCCAGAAACCAGGTAGGAGTTCCTGGGGTGGGACTTGGGGCGGAAGAACGATCTCCTGTAAGGCTTAGGGTGGGTAAGGGCACCGATGTGACGAGTTAGACCCACTAGATGGCGTGAGCCAGAGGTCCTGAACAGAAGACCCCACGTCCACCTTACACAAAACCCTAGGCCTGCAGCCTGTATGGGGAGAGAGGGGTCTGAAGGGCGGGATCAGGAGCTTTACAGGTGAATGAGTGAAAATGAACTTGCCAGAGGGAGTGCATGCATGGCTGGCATCACCCAGGCTCTGCCTAGGGTGTGGCATTTTTTGTCTGCACTTCTGAGACGCAGGATGTAGTTTCCCATTGCAAGTCAGTACGCATAGTAATTCAGATCCCTCTTATTAGGTAAATATGGGGTGAGGTACTTCCTGTCTCTGATTCTTATTTCTAGAGTGTGAAAGTATCCATTTGCAAGGAGGATTCAGCGATAACACATGAAAAGCATCCTTAGCACTATGCTCAATTAAATATATCAATAGTATATTTTAAAATGTATTGTTTGGGGCCAGACTCTGGCTTACCGCCTGTAATCCCAACACTTTGGGAGGCCGAGGCAGGCAGATCACTTGAATTCAGGGGTTCGAGACCAGCCTGGCCAACACAGTAAAACCCTGTCTCTACTAAAAATACAAAAAAAATTAGCCAGGTATGGTACGCACACCTGTAATCCAAGCTACTCAGAAGGCTGAGGCAGGAGAATCACTTGAACCTGGGAGCCAGAGGTTGCAGTGAGCTGAGATCATGCCACTGCACTCCAGCCTAGGTGACAGACCCAAAACTCCATCTCAAAAAAAATAAAAATTTATTGGCTGGACATGGCCCCAACACTTTGGGAGGCCAAGGCTGGAGGATCACTTGAGGCCAGGATCAAGACCAGCCTGGGCAACATAGCAAGACCCTGTCTCTACAAAAAATAAAGTAAGTAGAATTTATTGCCATTAATATATTTTAATATAACTTTTTTCTACCTCCCTATCAGAACCAACTTGAGCTGTTATAGACAGAAGAGGCCTGATGATGTTATTTGCATAGCAGGGTCTGACTGGAGAGGATAAATCCATCTACCCTCTGCCACTCCCTTACCTCCAAGGGACAGCATGGGTGCAAGACTGAGATTTTCCTGTGATCTCTACTTGGTGCTTACATTTCAGGCATCATACAGCTAGCTGCCTTTCCTCAACCCCCTTATTTCATTTATGCAGTCAACAAGCAAGTGTTTGTTGAGTGCCTTGTCTAGGCTGGCCATGGACCAGACTATGGTGGATTCTAAGGAGGTCAAACTCTGTCCTGTCCATAGGAGGATGCATCCTAGTGGGGGATCTGAGAACTGTAGAGCCAGATAGGGGTGTGAAAGGTACAGGCACAGTGTAGGGTCTTGGGAAAAGCCATCAACTCCCAGTATGAAATATCAAATCAGGTGCCCCCAGAGTTTGCAGAGGAGAAACTGAGCCCGGAGATATCCAGTGCCTTGCTTAAGACCCTGGATGTCTCTTCCAGAGTTGGAGAATGGGTGAGAAGAGCCAAGTCTGGGAGGATGGGTGGCAAGAGTTGATTCTGGGTGTTTTCTATCCCTATATTTACTTAGCAGTCCTGCCCAGGCAAGATGATGACCCGCCTCCTTCTACGCTGCTTCAAGACTACCAGAATGTCCCTGGAATTGAGAAGTAAGCAGGAAGAAACCTAGTAGAGGAGTCAGGGGACCCTGGGAGGACTGTCGGGGAGTGGGGAAAGACAGTGGCTTTGAGACTTGGCTTGCTGTAGCTGAAGCTTGATATAGAAGGAGGCAGGGGCCCAGGTGTGGTGCGGATGGGTGGTCAGCAAGGCAGATGGTACTCCTGGAGCTCAGCTACTTGGGGTTTTTTTTGTACTCTAGATGAAGACCCTGTACCACTAGATTCCAAGAAGCTAACATGCTTCATAGGTCTTTGTAGAAATCTCTCATCTCTTGTTCCTCACAAAAGTTCTATGGACCCATTTTACAGATTTCAAGTTGCCCAGCGTGATACAGTTCTAAGGGGCAGAGCTAGAGTTGGAATCCAGGGCTGACTGACACCAAAGCCAGAGGCCCTCTGCTCAGCTCCTGTCCAGTGTGGTGGGAGCTGGTCAGTCCTTCCAGTCCTTCTCACTGTGCAATTTAACTTGAAATGTCTCAAAACAGATTGAACCATGTTCTAGCTAAAATGGAAATCCTCTCCTTGCCTTCCCTGTGATGAGACCAGAACATTTGAGCTGACAGCCCCAGTTTCTATAGTTTTCAGCCGAGCAAGCCAGATCCACACTGACTTTTAATCCCTGGGAAATGGCTCCCCACCTCCAGGGAGATTCATTTGCTGCAGAAGGAATTTTTCAATCATCCTTGCTTTTCAAACTAAAATGAAACCAGCATTGTTTCCCCCTCCCCCTCCCCTCCATGTCTGTCTCATTGCTGTGGTTTTTCCACAGGGTTGATGATGTTGTGAAAAGACTCTTGTCTTTGGAAATGGCCAAAAAGGTGAGCATCCTCTGCCAAGCCTCAGCCTCCCACAGTCTTCTCTGGGACTCCCTCCTACCCTGGTTAGCAACCCCCATCCCATGCTTCTCCAGTCACAGCACTTAGCCCACTATCATTCTGTGTCTACTTGTCAATATCCCTAGACAGAGCATCTTCATGGCAGGGACACTTTTGTTCCCCCACCATACCCCTAGTACCTGCCAAACAGGTGCTCAATGAATGAATGAATGAGCATGAATGAATGACAAGCTTTGGGAACATTGATGCAACAAGTCATTTCCCCTGTCAGTGGCTTTGGCTTTGGGCTCACCTGGATGTGGATAGCCATGTAGTTGGTCAAGGCCACAGTGAGCAGAGTAAAGTCAGGCCCTGAGCCTTATGTCCCTAGTTGCTGTAACTGTAGCCAGGGCCTTGGCGGGAGGAGGACTAGTTCTTAGAGTGTGGCGGACTGCACAGATTTTCTCTGTCTCTGTCTTCAACAGAAGGAGAAGCTAAAAGTCATACAAGAACAGTTGATGAAAAAGATTGTTGAAAACCCTGAGGACACCAGATCCCTGGAGGCTCGAAGTTGGTTGGGGACCCTTGGGGAGTGGCAGTACAGGGGAGCCCTAGCTGGGACCTGACCTAGGGCTCTTGTCTACAACCACACTCACGTGTGGCTCGGGAAACGGGGGGACATGAAGGACCTAGGGCAGTGAAAACTAGACTGTATCCCAGGCTCTGATGCTGGAGTCAACGTCCAGTTGGGCCTTGTACCTCTGTGTGAGCTTGGGTAAGTCACCAGCCCTCTCTTGGAGGCTCTGCTTCCTTGTGTGGAAATGGGGGAATAAGGGAGAGCAGGGCAGAGGTAATGTTACCCACCTCATGGCAGCATTGTGAGAAGCAGTCAGAGGATGTAAATATACCTTGGAAATTAAAGCTCACAATGTGTGATGATAATAGTAAGACTAACATTTACTGAACCCTCATGTGCCAGACAGACACCATGGTGCATTCCCAAGGGAATAATGTTCCTACTTTGGTTCAGGCTGGAACTGGCAGTAGTCCTCATTGGATGTGAGTGAAAAGTGTCACCACTTTACCCTCTCTTTGGGTACAGTTTCTTTTCACTGCCCACAAGAGCAAGTGAGGTAGACTAGTAGACCTGCCTGGGGTCTGCACACTCTCTCCTTTGCCATTGGCCTTTATTACAGCCTCCTCCTCCTCTTCTACCCTCCTGCCTTCATTCTTTTCTTCTCCCTCTGCCAGGGATTAAAGTCTGCTGAGTTCATCTTAGATACTAAAACCCCATTGAGAACTGGACTCCAGGGTCCTCCATAGCCCCTTTTGAGAAGATGAGTTTCAGCTTCCCTTGCCCTGCTGAAGCCCTGGGCTAGGGACCATCTCAGCCATAAAGGCCTGCTTATCTTTCCTCACCTGTTTCTGCATTATCACTACTGAAATCCCCAGGCTGGCAGGAGCAAATGTCGGGATCCTCCTTTTTTTTTTGAGACCAGTCTCTCTCTGTCACCCAGGCTGGATTGCAGTGGCGGGCGTGACCATGGCTCACTACAGCCTCGACTTCCAGTGCTCCAGCAATTCTCCTACCTCAGGCTCCCAAGTAGCTGGGACCACAGGCATGCACCACCATATCAGGCTAATTTTTGTATTCTTGGTAGAGACAGGAATTTGCCATATTGCCCAGGCTGATCTCAAACTCCTGAGCTCAGGCGATTCACTCACCTCAGCCTCCCAAAGTGCTGGGATTACAGGCATGAGCCACTGCACCCAGCCCACAGGTGTCAATTCTGCCTTTCCATTAATACTGTTTCCTGAAGGCCAGCTGCTTCTAGCATAGTGTCTGTTCTGGAGAACCCCTCAGGAACCAAAGCCCATCTTTATGTTATTCCACTCTACACCTAAGGTGGTGTGATAGAGCCATGTGGTCAGGACCAGGGTTCTCACTGCACTTTGTGCAGCGCTCCCAGAACTCAATTATGTGTACTAGGAAGGGCCTGCTGCCATGACAGCCTCTTTGGAGCCAGCTTCTGCTTTTGCCCCATCTTTGCAGTACAGGGGAGAATTAAATAAGAGGATGCCTAAAAGAAGGATATTCCAGATTCTTGAGAGACAAGTGGGAGCTGGTAATTCTGAAAACTCATTAATCAAAGCATGGAGATAAAGATGGCAGCAAGAAGGGGAGAGGCAAGGAGTAGACCCTTGACAGTTTTAGAATCTTACTTGTGCCAAAACACTTTACTGCTTTGGCTTGGACCTCTAATACAGTGTTGAATTGTTGACCATGAAAACATTGTATCCTAGTCTAATTCCTGAATTGAATGGCTAGTCTTACCATTAAGAGTGCTATTTGGCTGGACACAATGGCTCATGCCTGTAATTCCAGCACTTTGGGAGGCCAAGGCGGGCAGATCACTTGAGGTCAGGTGTTTGAGACCTGCCTGGCCAACGTGATGAAACTCCATCTCTACTAAAAAAATTAGCAGGGCATGGTGGTGGGTGCCTGTAATCCCAGCTGCTTGGGAGGTTGAGGCAAGAGAATCTCCTGAACCTGGGAGATGGAGTTTGCAGTGAGCCAAGATCATGCCATTGCACTCCAGCCTGGGCAACAGAGGGAGACTCCATCTCAAAAAAAAAAAAAAGAATGCTATTTGCTATGATTTTTGGGTGCTATCTTTATAATATTAAGGGATGCCCCTTCCTTGAATTTTGCTTTTTAAAGGAAAGATAATGTCTAAGATAAGTCTTTGAAATCCTAAAATTCAGAGTGCATTGGGATTTATAGAGAGCTGTACAGAGCATTGGTAATTGTTACTCCTTGAATTCTTAAAACGTAACCCAGGCCTGGGCCCTTCCTTCCTCTGTGCCCAACTCTCATCCTCTGTGGTTTGTGGTTTCAGTTGTTGCCTTGACCATCAAGATCCGCAGTTATGAAGAACACATGCAGAAACATCGAAAGGTAAACCCTGGGCGCCATTCACAGTTAAACAGCAGCAGCCTTGGGGAGAGGGATTTGGGAGGGGAAGGGCTGTGGGTCCAGAGAAAGAGGCTTAGAAGCCAGTGGGCTATAGCACCAGAGTGCCCACCCCTCAGCTTCCATGGGAAACATGTTTTTCTCTTCCCGCCAGAGGACTTGGAGCCTTACAAGGCCATGCTGAGTGTCACCAGGGGTGAAGAACACAAACTTTAGAGCATGATCACTGGGTCTGGCACACACTGAGTACTCAGTAAATATGTGTTGAATGCATGAATGGAGTCAGATTGCCCTGAGTTCAAATGCCAGCTCTGCCACTTAACTCACTGTGTGATGTTAGGGAAGTTACAGGTCTCAGTCTCAGTTCTCTTTTCAGTAAGATAGAGATCACATGAATACCTGCTCACAGGATTGCAAGGATTATGTGAAATAGTAACAGCCAATGTGATGCATATAAAGTCTTCAGGCTCTGTGTCTCATTTGACTCTCATGACTATCTTTTGTTTGTTTTTGGTTTGGGGGGTTTTTTTGAGACAGGTCTCACTTGTTGCCCAGGCCGGAGTGCTGTGGTGCAATCTCAGCTCACTGCATCCTCTGCCTCGCAGGTTCAAGTGATTCTCTTGACTCCACCTTCTGAGCCTCTGGGGCTACAGGGGCATGCCACCACGCCCAGCTAATTTTTGTGTTTTTAGTAAAGATGGGATTTTACCATATTGGCCAGACTGGTCTCGAACTCCTGATCCCAAGTGATCCACCTGCCTCCCACAGTGCTGGGATTACAGGCGTGAGCCACCACACCGAACCTCATGACTATATTTCTTTCCCATCTTAATGAGCAATAATCTAGTCATGGAGTGATTAGGTTTTTCCTCAAGGCATACCACTGGGAAGTGATATGTGGAGACCTTGAAACAAGGCAGTCTTGCTCCCAGGCCCATGTTCTTAACCATTATACCGTATCTCAGCAGTGTCTGGCACAGAGCTGCTGTAATTGGGCAAATGCTGTTATTTTTAATAAACACATGATGGTGAATATAGACTGGTCCAGCACCACGCCTGGTACCTGAGGTCAGTGTTCCTTGGAGCCTGCTTCTTGGAGGTCATAGTTTTGCTTATTTGGGGTGTGGAACAGCAACCCCACTGCAGAGGCCCCTCACAGGGCAGCAGGCAGATATGGGTAGGCATTGCCAGGAAGAGCACAAGGCCTTCCCTCCTCTCCACCCCAGCTGACAGTTGGCTAAGCTGTGGAGAGTCTGAATGGGTGGTGTTAGAGAAAAGAGCATGAGATTTGAAGTCAGACCAATAGATAGAGATTCAAGACCCAATCTCAGCACTCAGTCCTAAGGACCTTTTGTGAATCAGATAACATCTTTAAACCTTTATTTTCACATCTGTAAAATGGGAATAACAATGACAATACCTCTCTCAGAATTGCATTAATATTTGCATAAGATTATTGAGAAATTTCAATGAAGTGATAAAATGACCATCCTTTGTTGCTGTGAACAACAGTAACACTTATATAATACTATATACTATTTAAATAATACTTATATAATACTAAAAATAATGAGACTTTCTTACAGGACAAAGCCCACAAACGCTATCTGCTGATGAGCATCGACCAGAGGAAAAAGATGCTCAAAAACCTCCGTAACACCAACTATGATGTCTATGAGAAGGTATGCAAGGAGCTGGGGATTGAGTACACCTTCCCACCTCTATATTACCGAAGAGCCCACCGCCGATTCGTGACCAAGAAGGCTCTGTGCATTCGGGTACGAGTCAGAATTGCTGCTTTGCTTGGCCCCCCTGAGGGACTGGGATGGAGGAAGCAGAAGGGAGGGGGCCTGGAATAGATCCACCAACCCCATGGAGAAAGGCTGGGGTTACCATCTGAGGAAGATAGTTCCCATCCCACCTGTTCCAAGTCTTAGATTTTGCATAGGATCATGAGGTCTTTTGCTGCCCCCTTTTACCCCCAGGTTTTCCAGGAGACTCAAAAGCTGAAGAAGCAAAAAAGAGCTTTAAAGGCTGCAGCAGCAGCCCAAAAACAAGCAAAGCAAAGGAAACCAGACAGCCCTGCCAAAGCCGAACCAGAGATACTCGGAGACAACCAATAAATTCTGTTCAATCATTGCTTTCTGTCTTGAAGAATGACAGGAGAGACAATGGGGCTGTTTTTAGTCTGAGGAGGAGGAGAAATTTATTCTTCGATTCAGCTCTGGGATCCCAGAGTTGTGTGAGGCAGAGTCCCTGCCCTCACCCACCAGGGGACACACACTCATGACACACCTCCCACACACTCATACAATTACCTGTCATCCAGGTGACATATGTTTCAGTGGAGGCAAGACAGAGTACGTGACAGCACAGTGGAAGTGTGGCTGTATGGGTGAAAAGAACAGCTGTAAGAGATGCCTTCCAGACTGAGCCCTAAAGGATAAGTAGCAGTTCACTGGATAGAGACAGGAAGAGAAAGGCTCCTGGGCAGAAGGAATTGCAAGTACAAAGGCAAAGAAGTCTAGAGAGAGAGGCATGTTGTATTCAGAGACTGGGGAGAATAAAAAATAAAGCTTGAAAAGCTGAAGCTGAGGTGTGAGAGGCTTTATATGCTAGGCTGAGAAGATTGTACACTGTCCACTAGGGAGTGGGGAGACAAAGTTTTAAAACTGAGGGAGTGGCTGGGCGTGGTGGCTTACGCCTGTAATCCTAGCACTTTGGGAGGCCAAGGTAGGCAGATCACGAGGTCAAGAGATCAAGACCATCCTGGCCAACATGGTGAAACCCCGTCTCTACTAAAATACAAAAATTAGCTGGGCGTGGTGGCACGCACCTATAGTCCCAGCTACTCAGGAGGCTGAGGCAGGAGAATTGCTTGAACCCAGGAGATGGAGGTTGCAGTGAGCCGAGATCACACCACTGCACTCCAGCCTGGCACCTGGCAACAGAGCAAGATGCTGTATCAAAAAAAACTAACTGAAGGAGTGATGATAATAACAGGTCTGTGTTTTAGATAGTTAAGCAACAGCTGTGTGGAAGGTAGATGGGAAGAGGAGAGATCAGGGCAGTGTATTGGGGGTGGGGGATACTGGTATTCACATAGAGAATCTGATCAAAACTACAAGTCCTACCCCCACGAACCTGTACATACACAAAGCATTGCTTATAAATTCTAGGGAGTTGTGGATACCTGCTTCCCCATAAAGCACATCCATTTACACCAGGTTAAGTACCAACGCCTTGAACCTGAGCATGCTTGGTATGTTTGAAGAACCCAAGGAAAACTCTTTAAAACAGAGCAAAGAGAATAGTGAGAAGCTAGGAGGTCAGAAAGGTAGGAAAGTACCAGGTGATGTAGAGTTTTCTGAGTGTTTTAGTCTGCTCAGCCTGCCGTAACAAGATACCATGGATTAGGTGATTTAGGATTTTTATTCTGAGTTCATTTTTTCAGTACTGGAGGCTGGGGATTCCAAGATCAAAGTACCAGCCAATTCAATTTCAGGCAAGGACTCTTCCTAGCTTGGAAAGGCCACCTTCTCAACGTCATCACATGGCCTTTCCCTCCTTCCATGCACTGGGGAAAGATCCCGCTCTCTTACAAGGCCCCTAATCCCATCATGAGGACTGTTCTCATACCTTATCTAACCCTAGTTACCTCTGAGAAGCCCCATCTCTAAATACCATAACACTGGGCTTCAGCATATGAATTTGGGGGGACACATTCAGCCCATAACGCTGCAGAAATACGCTGGACTTCACTCAGAGAAGGGAAGCCATTGAGGAAAGCCAAAAAGGGAGAAACGTGTATTAAAGTGCTATCCAAAGAGCAACTGGAAGTTTAGATCTAGGACTCAGTAGAGGGGTCTGGACTAGAGAGGCTTGCGAGTTGAACCCATGGGTGTAAATGAAATTGCCCAGGGACAGAGTGTACAAGAAAAAATGGGCTGGGTGCAGTGGCTCACACCTAAAATCCCAGCACTTTGGGAGGCCAAGGCAGGTAGATCACGAGGTTAGGAGTTCAAGACCAGCCTGGCCAAGATGATGAAACCCCATCTCTACCAAAAATACAAAAATGTGGCAGGCATCTGTAATCCCAACTACTCAGGAGGCTGAGGCAGGAGAATCGTGTGAACCCAGGCTGCAGAGGTTACAGTGAGCCGAAATCATGCCACTGCACTCCAGCCTGGGTGACAGAGTGAGACTCCATCTCAAAGCAAAAGGGCCACATTTGGATGAGAAGGATCATCTCTGAGAGCTTAGCGTGAGTCAGAAGGAGCAGCTGAGCTGGAGGAGAAGGTGAAGGAGAGATAGGACAGAGAGCCTAGGAGTCTGCACATGCAGAAATAAGAGGCTCAGAACTAAAGATGAACTATTCAGATATCACTTCCAGGAATTGTAGGGAAGGCCTTTAATGGGGCAGGATTTCCAAGTGGCCATGGCTAATTGGAGGTACTGTGTCAGAGGGCCAGGTGCCAACAGTTAAGGGGGCTAGCCCAGGGGAAGGAAAGAAAAAGGAACACATTTTAATAGATCAGGCCCTACTGCAAAGGCATTTGTGTGTTTTGGTTTGGTTGGTTTTTTTAGAGACAGGATCTTGCTATCTAGCCCCAACTGGAGTGCAGTTCACTAACTTCAAATTCCTGGGCTCAAGCAATCCTCCTACCTCTGCCTCCTAAGTAGCTAGGACTATATTAAGCCACTGTACCCAGTTAATTTTTTTATTTCTTGTGGAGATAGGGTCTCAGTATGTTGCCCAGGTTACCCAAACTCCTGGCCTCAAGCAGTCCTTGGCCTCCCAAATGCCTTGGCCTCCCAGAGCACTGGGATTACAGGCCTGAGCCACTGCATCCAACCAAAAGGCATTGTTTTAAGTGCTGCCTTAGGGACATTATCTACTATTCACAGCCACCTTTACTCCACACATTGGCTAATTATCCTCATTTTAGCCAGGAGAGATGAGAGAGCCCTGAGCCATGAGAGAACTGAGACTCAGGTCAGGTAACTTGTCCAAATTCATATAGCTGGGAAGAGAAAGGTCTAGGATTCAAAGCTGACACTGTCTTGACTCAGAGCCCATATCTTGTTCACTATACCACACTGCTTAGGGACCAAGAAAAAGGTCTGAGAAGCTAAAGGAAGAGTCTACACCACAGCAAACTCAAAAGTTTTTAGGAGCCAGGCAGGCAACAAAAATGCATGAAGGCCTAACATGAAGTAATGATGCTAAGGTGTTTATTACATTCCTGTCCTAGTTGTATTCCCATTTATTTAGACAGTTTTTGCTCTGTTCCCCAGGCTGGAGTACAGTGTTGCAATCTCAGCTCACTGCAACCTCCCTGTCCCAGGTTCAAGCAATTATCCTGCCTCAGCCTCTGAAGTAGTTTGGATTACAGGTGTGAGCCACCACACCCAGCTATTTTTTTTTGTATTTTTAGTAGAGACAGGGTTTCCCCATGCTTCAGCTTCCCAAACTGCGGGGATTACAGATGTGAGCCACTGCACCTGGCCTGTATTACCTTTTAAAACAGAGCACAGGGCAGGCAAAGTAACAAAATTAAACAAAGCCTTGGGCCACCAGTAGTGGGATACTGTATAATCCCAATGCTGAGATAGCAGTTAAGGGAGGGACTAAGAAGTATTCATGATGAAGCAGTTTCAGTGGGGTTTAGGGAGCATAATACCAGTTGCAATGAGGTGGGGAGTGAGGATGTTAAGGAAGTTCCAGTTGTGAGTGTTGTCAACTTGTTTAAAACACTTCACTGGAAGGAAAGGAAGGAAAACAGACTAGCAGGGATATGAGATGGAAGGAGAATGTTAATATAGGAAGGACTTGAGCTTGGTTATGTCAGGGCAAGACTTCCCAGTGGTGTGGTTATGAGGAAGAGGCAGCCTGCTAATGAGTTCAACTGGACAGCAGAGAGGAGGTAGCCAGGTAGTTGGCAGGGCCTTTAATCCCAACAACTAAGGAGTCTAAGGCAGGAGAATCACTCGAGGCCAGGAGTTCTAGGCTGCAGTAAGCCATGATGTTGGGAGTTCAAGACCAGCCAGACCAACAAGGAGAAGCTCTTTTGTTACTAAAAACACAAAAAACTAGCCAGGCGTGGTGGTGCATGCCTGCAATCCCCAGCTACTTGGGAGGCTGAGTCAGGAGAACTGTTTGAACCCTGGAGCCGGAAGTTGCAGAAAAAAAAAAAGAAAAAGAAAAGAAAAAAGGAAAAAATTGGTTGGGAGGCCTTCGGAACAGCATTGAGGAGGGAACTTCCCGGAGTCCCCAGCACACAACCTCTGCGAGCTGGACACACGGGGACGGGCCTGGGTTGCTTCACCGAGTATGAAACCAGGATAGCCTTCAAGTAAATTTTAGGGAGGTGATGCAAACGACTCAGAACTTCTGATCCTTGCCCCGTCTAAAAGAAAAGTCAGCTACCATTTTTACTGAGTGCTTTCGGGGCGCTTCCATGATCTCACTGATCCCTTTCAGCCATCCTGTGATGAGTGCCAGCTCCACGTTACATAAGAGGAAGCCAAGGCTCAAACCCTGCCCGAAGTCACACAGCAACAAATCACTAGCCGTGATTCCAACCCAGGTCCGTCAGACCCGAGCCTGCTCTAAAGCTGTTCTGCCTGGGCTTTCCTCTCTCATAGGCACCTGAGGCCCCGCGCCAGCGCCGGGGTCCTGAGCTCCAGGCTGGCTGTGTCAAGGCCACCCGCAGACACTGGCCCGGCCCTCGCCCTTACGAGGGAGGAACTAGACTCAAGAGCACACCTCTTCAACTGCGGCAAACTTCGCGCCAGCGTCCGGCTCGGAACATTCCCCCCGGGGCAGTACTCCACCCAGACCAATTAGAGCCCGTCCTTACGGCACCTCCCACCAAACCGCCTTCTGATTGGCTTCCTTTTCCCGTCGCGGCGTTGCCCTGGCAACCAGACTACTGGGACGCGGCGGCCTGGCCTTTAGGCCACTGACTAACGAACCCCGGGCCTCTTCACCAGCCCAGCTTGCTTCCAGCACCATGTCGATGCGGACGCTACCGCTGCTCTTCTTGAATTTGGGCGGGGAGATGCTTTACATCCTGGACCAACGGCTGCGGGCCCAGCACATCCCGGGAGACAAGGCCCGCAAAGGTGAGAGGCTCCCGGCCCACTCAGCCAGACCCGCAATCCGCAGCCCGGCCCTCTCACCATCGCCCTAACACCCACAGCCAGACCTGCACCACTACACACTTCACTCTTATAACCAGGGACCTTTCTTACAAGCCACAAACCCCATCCAGTTGGAGCCCCTCAGAAGTCAAATCCCCCAAAAGCTTTTTTCACAGCAGAGGAATTTAATACTCCCAGTGGACCTTAGGGTGCCTCATCTTCCTAATTTCCCCATCTCTTCAAATGCGAGAGGTGATTTCCCAGTCTCTTTTATCAATCAGTCCCTTCCGAATGTAGGAGTCCTAGCTGCCCACCATCTGGCATCATACCCCTTGCTAGTCCAAACACATCCTCTTTACCCCCAAGGAAGAGGTTCTGATTTGTTTTTTGTTTGTTTTGTTTTGTTTTTTTTGAGACAGAGTCCCACTCTGTCACCCAGGCTGG